ACTAACAGGAGATGGGAGGTGAACGTGGCACCAGTGGAAATCACAGATGGGGTGACAGAGTGAGAGGATGAGGGACTCGTTTCTCTTCAGTGGGCATTTGTGAATGGCAACTAACTGGAGCCCAGATGTGAGTTTATAGTCATCCTAAGCAGCTGGGTGAGCAGAAATCTGTTATCTGGAGAGGTGACAGTAATAGCTAGCAATAAATCAATTTTATCAATTTTATCTCCTACAAAGGGTGTTTTACTTTTATTTCTTCATTATGGGTAGTTCTATTTGATCAGCTCGAACCTGGATGTGAATGAATATTCACATCATTCAATGTTCAATTCATTGTTTGGAGAACCGCAGAGGTCTGAGTTTGAGTTTTCACTATTTTAATCTAATTATTTATTTTTAAACTTACACTTACATAAAATAATAGTTTTGTATTAAATATTTCTGAGAGGAAGATTCCAAAATGATTCACAACATCTTCCCATCAGCTCTCTCTCACACTTTTTGACAGCCATGGTGTGGAATATGTCTCTCTCTGTCAGCAATTTAAGTAGAATGGCACTATTTTTTTTATCTTCTCCCATTTCTTGTTGATTGACCCTAATTCCAAGTGTCTAGTCTGGATCTATTGAGAAAGTCTTGTTTGTTCCTATGCCATCATGCTGATTAGGTGCAGTAATTTATTTCTGTTATTGATGTTTTCAAGTTCATTTTTTAACCTCAAAGGAGATTCACCAAGAATAAAATACTGGCCAATACCTGTAAACCTAAAATATATTACTCCAGAGAATTTTTTTCTCTGTAGAAAACAGACTTCATACATTTTCTCAGCCTCTTGATTCTTTCTATGTGCAGCTCTTTTGAAGTATACAAATGTGATGCTGTTTACACTACTGAAGCTGTGTCTTAAGGTGTCTTTTATGTTCTAAATCAAAATACAGGAAGATTTAACAATTTGTGAATGGCTGCAAATCAAGCACACTAAGGTCAGCTTTCTGGGAGTTTTGCTAGGTCTTTGTACAAAGAAAGAAAGAAAATATTAAAAATTACAAATAAGAATAAAATGCAGTGGAAGGTGGCATGTTTTGCTAACATCTTCCTTGTTTACTTACTAAAGGAGATCATACCTATTCTGATAAAAGAACTTCTGAGGAAGTATGGTAAATTGAAAAGATCTGAGTGTGAACAGAAATCTGGTTAAGTTTCCCAAAATTTGCATGAATGATATAACAAATGACCTGATTTTTAAAATAACTCATTTCAGAGTGAAATGGTCACAACTACTCTGTGTACTATATCTAGAAAGAAAAAGATATACTTATTTTTAGTTACGAAAAACAAGGCTTCTGCAAAGAATTGGGTTGTGCAGATAGAATTTGCTGATAATTTGCAGCACAGGTTGGTGTAGACTTGCTGCACTTGTCAGGAAGATGCATCTCCAGGACAAGTCATGGCTGATGATGTGCGGTCGGGATTTGCAGACCCAAGTAAAGCCACCTCACTTCCATGGGACACAGAAGGGGAAGGCCTCTGTGGAAAGACAGGTGGAGACCCCTTATGTGTAGGGATCCTCGTTACCCCAGAACCAACCATGTGTCTAAAACAGGACGTGTTCCAGGGAGACCGTGCCAATCTCCCTCCCCTGACGGAGCAGGTGAGGCAAATCAGGCAGCACACATGGTAGCATCAGCACTTGCTGACTGGTGGAAGAACTTTTTCAGCCCCGGAACATCACAGCAGGTCTCTGTGACTACTGAAACTGCCATGAATTACTTGACCTCTGCACTTGATGTCTGTGATCTCACTCTGAGAAGGTCTTCCCAATACACGGCATGACCCTTACAAGGGTGTAAAGGCTGACTGGACAACACCAAGATTTGACCTTCAAAACCAGGAACCTTAAATTTTGCAAAACTGATGCATGAGATATTACACTCCTGTACCCAGCCCTGGAAGTTACTCCTCCAGCTCTTCTGATTCACAGTAAGAGCTGCTGTCTTGGCTCAAACTGAACCATTTAGTCTGACACTCCACACCTACTCTGGACATGTGAATCAGGCTACTATTTCACATCCATGGAGTTTCTACCATTTTATAGGAACTTACACTTGACAAGTTTTTCTTGGAAGTCTGAGCCCCTGTTACAGCAGGCAAGCACCTTTATGTGCCTGTGAAATAGTGGAAAGGATCCTTTTTTTCCTTTTCTTTTGTAAACCTGTAGGACTAGGGGTAAAATTTGCTCTTGCCAAAACAGATTGAAGTCCTGCAAGTGAAGTGGCTGGAATCAGGATTTGCCCATATTTGTGACCTCAGAAAGTCCATTCTTCTGGTTTCTAGATAGAAATGCAATTTAGAAGCTTCAAAACTGTGAGCTAAGGTCGGCAGGACATTTAGCTATGGGAATACAAGACACTGAAAAGCATATACTTTCAGAACATTTCCACCAACACAAGGAACCTTTTAAAAATATCTGAAATGCTGACGTCTGCAGGCAAAGAAACTAGGCTATTTGGCTCAAAACTTCTTGTGATAGCTGCTTCAAGAGTAATTGAAAATATGCCAGCTAATTTTCTTGGGAAACGAAGGCCCTGGCTACAGGTACAAGATGAACCAGAACGTATGCAATTTTTCAAAGGAAAATATTTGGGAAGCGTTCCAGTCAAACAGTTTGCCCACTTACTTCAGACAAAACTGTGACTTACAAAATGTGGCACATTCCTATCAAAGATACCTCACTTATTTTGACTCATGCACTTTGACTTGATCTCTAGAGCCCAAACAGCTCAGGCACGGTCTTGTCCTTCCAGCCACAGACCAGTAACACAACTGCTCAATTTTCTTGCATGCCTGTGTACTTCTTCCATAAGGAAGTCATGGAAACCCAATCTCCAGGATCTGCGTGAGAAGGAAAAAAAAAGTTAATTCATGTGCAAGCAAAAGCTTGCCAAGCTCAGAATAATGGCTCATCCTTCATCCTTACAGCTGGTGTAATGTTCTTATGATAGGCTGCAGTTTTTTATTCCCAAGTTGGATAAACTGTTAGGTACACAAGGTGAGCATTCGGGCGGGTGACACCTATGAGCTGCTGTTCGTCAGCCAGGAAAAGGCACGTCACGGGTGCTGCTGTTGGCAGCTGAAGGGCAGCATCTCGCGTCCCCGGCTGCAGGAATCCCGCTTTTGTCAGTGACCGATTTCCCGCAGTGCCTCCCAGCCCGGACTCCTGGAGAGGATGAGGCTGCTGCCCCTCGACAACGCCTCTCTCAAGGCAGGGCGCTTCCAGCTCAGCTCCGGAGGACGGCAGCAGTTTGATTCTTCCCGTAACTCATATCCCAGAGGTTCTCTCCTGCTGTCACCCACGGAGGTTCCCCATCAGGAACACATGAGCTGACAAATCCAAAGTCCGGGCTGTGCTCTTGTAAGGCTTTGTGATCCCTAACCGCCCCCCCACCCGAGACCGCGTTGTTTTGGTTTCCTTCCATCCCCTTCTCATTCCTGCACGTTCAGCTGACATTTCCCAAGTGTTCCCCGCTGTCTGGACATTCACAGCGCCCGGGACACGGCGGCGGGAGCGGGGGCCGAGGCGCTGAGGGCGAGGAGACCCCATCGCCGCTCGCCCGCCCCGGCTACAGCTCCCACTCCCGCTCCGACCTGCCCCTCCCGGGCGCCGCGACCGCCCGTGCCGCCGGCATCGGGGCTTTCCCTCTCCCGACA